GGGGGGGGGGGGAGTTGAAGGTTCGGGGAACTGGAAAAATATGCTTCTCGAAATTATAAGCCAACTAGTCATTCGTTATTGTTGACTGGATCAAATAATTTTTAAGTAAATCATCTATAAGAAGTTTTTTTTTAGAAATAAATGGAAAATCAAAATGTTAATGTCATTTTCCCTTTTTTTGTCAAGTCTAAGCTGATTTTCTTTAAAATTTCTAAACTATTTTGTATATAGGTCTTCATATTCTCGCTCTGAGCTCACAGAGCGACTTCAAACTAATTTACAAGATCAGGAGGAGGACTCAGTCAAGGTTCAACTCAATCCTCCCCAAATATCAGGTAGTTGTCTCTTCAAATATGAGGATTAAGGAATGCTAGCTCAATCCTTTTTAAATATCAGGTAGTTTTGGCTCAATCATCCTTAAATTCGGTAGTGTTGGCTCAATCCTTCTATAATATCAGGTAGTGAAGGCTCAATCCTTCTCAAATATCAGGAAGTGTTGGAATCCTTCTCAAATATCAGGTAGTGTTGGCTCAATCCTTCTCAAATATCAGGTAGTGTTGGCTCAATCCTCAACATATATCAGGTAATGTTGGCCCAATCCTTGTCAAATATCAGGTAGTGTTGGCTCAATCCTTGTCAAGTATCAGTTAGTGTGGGCTCAATCCTCAACAAATATCAGACAGTGTGGGCGCAATCCTCATCAAATATCAGGAAGTGTTAGCCCAATACTTGTCAAATATCAGGGAGTGTGGGCTCAATCCTTGTTAAATATCAGGAAGTGTTGACTAAATCCTCAACAAATATCAGTCAGTGCAGTGGGCTCAATCCTCATCAAATATCAGGTAGTGTGGGTTCAATCCTCGTCAAATTTCAGGTAGTTTGGGCTCAACCCTCGTCAAATATCAGGTAGTGTGGGCTCAACCTTCGTCAAATATCAAGTAGTGTGGGCTCAATTCTTTCTTAAGCATCATGCGGTGTGGACTCAATCCGTATCAAATATTAGAAAGGGCTAAAGCTCCATCTTTTTCAATCAACATATATTTTTCTTAATTTTTCTGAAATATCTATGTTGACTTTTCTATTATAATTATTAATGTTTTTTCAGTTTCCTTACATTTCATTTAATTCAAACATTCAAGTTAATAAAATTATTAATATTTTATTAACTTTAGTATTGGAAGAGTGTGCGAGGTCTGGTCAAGTGTTTGGAGAGCTGGGCCAGGAGGAAGAATGTTGCGTTCAGCTAGAGTGTGTACAAAGTAACCATGTTCAAGGGTAAGTCAGATATTTCATGTTCACGGGACCTTTCCATTTTTGGATCTACATGTTGTTCACAAAGTTACGCGTACCATACTCTTTAGTTGAATCAAAGAATAGAATGCAACTATGTCAACTTATTACTTTTTTGTGCTCCATGTGTGTTATCTTAGATGAACCGTAGATTAAAATTTTCAACTTTTAGATTACGGTGTTTGCTCTTTTGGTGAAGGGTCTCTTATTATTTAACATCTGTGCTTTTTTATAAACAAATTTACACCCTTTTAAAAAAAAATATCGCTTCGCGCAAGACTATCTGAATTGGATAGTTTTAATGAATTAGTTTATTAATATCTAAATATTTTTCGGGATTTTTTTAGTATTCTCTTCAACTATTGAAAAAATGTTTCAACAGTGCTTTGCATTTTTATTTTTCTAATAACATTTTATTTTGTCTACATTTATTATTGGTTAAAACTTCACACCTTTTTATCTTTATTAAAGTGGGTTGGATTGCTAGCTGGGAGTATTCTAGATCAGTTGGGTTTTAAACCAGGCATAGATGACTGATTCATATCTAAAATAAATATTTAAGACATTGTACTGTTGTAATGAACTGTGTGTACTGTAAAAGTTAAATTAAGTGTACTGTGAAAATACGAAATAAGTGTACTAAGAAATTAGGGAGGGAGTGAAGGGACGCCATAAGCCCCGCGGAATGGTCACCAGGCCTATTGTTTAATATTTTTATTAATTATGTCATATTTTGTTTGATATTCAAGAAAACACTGCATAACAATTTATTTATATTTATATATTATTTATTTATTTTCTTGTATTAATGTATTTTTTACTTCTATATTATCTATTCTTACGTTTTCAATACTCCTCTGCGAATGCGGAGGCTTAAAGACTATTTTTAAAACTTACGGTGGCCCTGCCCCCCGTTCCTCGTGAAAGTTGGCTGAGTTTGCCTTATCAAAGCTATAATGAATCATGAAACTGAGTACATGTTCCTCTATCTTAGTTATTTCACCTTTAATACCAGTAAGCTCTTTCAGTGCGGCACTAATTTCGTCGGGGTTATTTCTGGTCTGCTCTGTACCCTAGTAAATTATTATAGTTATTATCTATAATACATTTAATTATTATAAGTTTAGGGTTGTATTCGCTGAAGTGGCGAAAAAATTATTTTTAGGGGAACATAGTAAAAAAAGTTGCCTTTTGATAGAAGAGAAGTATTTTAATGTTTGTTATTAACTTTTTTATTCCTGAATATTGATGTTTATTTGACTATTTTACCCCTGAATATTGATGTTTATTTGACTATTTTACCCTTGATATTGATGTTTATTTGACTATTTTACCCCTGATATTGATGTTTATTTGACTATTTTACCCCTGATATTGATGTTTATTTGACTATTTTACCCCTGAATATTAATGTTTGTTATTTATCTATTTCACCCCTGAATATGGATATTTGTTATTTTACTATTTTACCCCTGAATATTGATGTTTGTTATTTAAATATTTTACCCTTGAATTTTGATGTTTGTTATTCAACTATTTTACCCCTGGATGTAGAAGTTGTTATTTAACTATTTTACCCCTGAATATTGATGTTTGTTATTTAACTATTTTACCCCTGAATATTGATGTTTGTTATTTAAGTATTTTACCCCTGGATATTGAGGATTGACTCGATTATCGTATTGGCGGCCATTATTCTCCTGCACTGCCTAAACAAGCGATGGCCAATCAGATAATTTTTTAACCCTATTTATTTTTGGTTTGACAAACATTAAATACATTAAGATTACCTTTTCCAAATTACTATTATATTTTCTTAATGCATCAATGTTCATAAGTATCTCCCCCTCCTGTTGATCTTGTCCATTGGAAAATGTTCCATTTAGTTCTAGGTTAATTGCTCTTCTGTATCCAGGAGGATATTCTGCAAATGTTATTTTGTTAAACATAAAGGGATTGTTAACAATCTGACCACTCAGTGATATTCGTGTGGCTGTAATTTTCAAAACTTATTACAATTTTTTTGAATGATTTTAAGAAACTTATTTGTGTTGTGATCTTAAATAAAGATTTCAAGGTATTCCATCCATTTCAAATGGATGAAAAAGTTTTCAAATAAGTTAAAAGTAATTCATGTCATCAAACCATTATAACAGTCTTAGATAATGTTAATGCCTAACACAAGATTCTTTATACCTGGATTCCTGAATGCATCATTTCCTTGGTGTTTGGCTTGTTCTTCTGTAGGTTGGACTGGGCGCACTAAGGATTGAGGTGCTTTTTGTGCATTGGCTGTTACTGGAACGGATGATGATGATGAGTATGCTGGATTTGATTGTGGTGCTTCCGGGGATAGTTGAATTCCATGTGGTGCTTCTGGGGATAGTTGAATTCCATTTGGTGCTTCTGGGGATAGTGGAATTCCATGTGGTGCTTCTGGGGATAGTGGAATTTGTGGGGCTTCTGGGGGTACTGGAATTCCATGTGGTGCTGGTCCTGGGGGTGTTATCACCCCTCTGGATGGAACTCTTAGCTCATTATTCTGATTCTGAACAGATGGCTCTTCTGGTCTTGCGTCAGGGGCTCTAAACATTTCCCTGCATTTAAATGATAAAATTTGGCAGTTATGTGTGTGAATACCTTAAGCTCTCTGGTATGGTTACATTGTGTTTATACTTTGTGTCTGTAAACTGATGATGTCTTTGCAGCTTTTCATGGTAGGGTCCTTCAGCTTTTTCAACAGAAGAATAATCCCTATCTGAAAAATAAATTTTACACCCATTAGTCATATAATTTTATAATGTAAAAATAATAAACCTTTAGTTGATGGGTTCAGTTTTTCTATGTGTTCACCTAAACTCAAATTTGTTTAATAAATTGAATATTTTAAAATACATCTGAGATGGAAATTAATAAAGGGTGCGAATTTAGGGTTTGTGGATTAAATGTGGGAAACATTTGACATATTTCTAGCTCTGAGGCTTGAGTGGTTTAAATAACTTCCATAGATCATTTCCGAACCAGTAATTAAATATGAACCAATTTAAATCCCATTTAATTTAACAATTTTCAATTTGAATGACAATTCGATCAGCTCCTATATTTTAAAGAAGAGTAACTAGACCAAGTCCACTAAGTCTAATTCTCTATCCCCATATCTATAGTAACGTGCCATTTAAAACATTTTATATGTCAAACTTTGACTGATCTTGTAAAGACTTCATAGTTGGAAATATCTGAGATCTTCTTACTTTTGAATTATTAAAGTTAATATTAAAGATATGTTATGCTAGGGGTGTGAAACAATGCAAGTCTTGCATGGTTAAAAAGCATGGAGGACCAATTCAGAATTTTGGAATCACAAATATAAAAAGAATATTTGAAAAAACTGGATGGCCAACAATTAATTCAAATTCCCTAAATTATCTTTTGCTGTTTTCAAAGCTTCAATTTCTGGATAGTACTGCTGTGCTTCTTTTTCTGGTAAACTGTCGTGCTCTCTTGGTTCAGTGTCTTGTAGATCATCTCCTTGTAGTAGTTATTGCAATCTTATTAAGTCTTAATTTTGAGTTAAACTGTTGTAATTCTTTTTTTCCATATAAGTATTATACCTGTTAATTCCTCTTTATCAGGAATGAAATCTCCATCAAAATGTTCCTCGTCCATCTCCTCTGATGCATAAGCTCTATTCATGCCAGCATCATTTTCACTTATTTCTTCACCTGAACTGCGTTCTCTAGAATCTTTATCGATTTGGTCATTCATTTGATCATCCATCTGATCATTTATTTGATCATCCATTTGATCATTCATTTTATCATCCATTTGCTTTCTTTCGTATTGAAGGGACCTCTCATTGGACCTCTCATTGGACCTTTCATTGGACCTGGTTGGAACTATTTTTTCATCTTCTTTGTGATCTTTACAATCTCCAGTAATCATTCCTTTTCTTAAAATGATGTTGTTCCACGGTCCAACTTCTCCAGTTTTAATGATAAATCTAGAAATAAGATTTCAATTTTAGAAATTGTATGATGTTTAACTTACCTTGCTTTGTCAACACGTTTAGAGAACTCATTGTAAGTCAGTAAATCTGCTCTGTCCATGGTGTCCATGCTAAATAATCATTGGTCAGGTAGATTAGGATACAATGCTGCAAAATGGCGAAAAATTATCTAAAAAAAGTGATTGATAAGCATAAATATTGAATATAAATGATTTTAAGTAAACAAGATCCCAATTGGCCAATTAAAATTTGGCAGACAAAGACGTAATCATGATAATAGAAATAAAACCAGGGTGCAGATTTTCATTTAAACTTTGATTCGGATGTGTAAAATCTGAATCAAAGAGATAATTGTTATGTAATAATAATTCCCTGTAGAAATAGCTGATTGGGTAAATTAATGAGAGCAAATTACACAGTTAATCTCTAGAAACTAAGCAATTTAAAAACTAATGAGGCGATGAATGAATACTGTGGTTCAAGCTTAATGCAAGTCCTATCACTTCACATGTTTTGTTCCCAGATACATCAGAGCTGAAAACTTTTGAATGGTGAATATCGAGATTAAGGCCTTATCCTCTCTTTTTCATAATATCGAGACTAATCTAATCTTTTACTTGTATCCTGAAAAGTGTAAAAAATTCAACCAGTCAAAGTCACATATATGAAGCTGATTAATCTAAAATTTTGCACGCCATTTAAGACCAACATACAGAAATGGGAGGAACTTTCTAATCTTAAGAAAACCGGTTTTTGATTTTTCTAAGAAAGAACGGTTTAAAAAGAAAATCAAAAGTGTGTCTATTGGATACTCAGATTAAGTAATCGGGATTAAGGGTATTTTATTCTAAAGTTTTCAACTCAGAAGAGATATTTTATGTTCCTTTAGCATTTGAGAGTACCTTCCACATTTTTCTTCCTCAGTTATGATTTTCGAAAGAACAAACTTAAGTGTCTCACTCACATCCTTAAAAACATCTTTTTTAAAAAAGTAAAAGCTGCTGGGAACTAAGGATAGTTTGAGAAACCACATCATTTTTTAATATATACATTTCTATTTTAACTATTAGATTTAACTATGTTTCTTCTCTGTGCCACTGCACCCTTCTTAAGAAAAAGCAAACCCATAACTATCTTAAACTTGACTTTCCTGGAATAGTATAATCCCTGGAGATTGTTTTAATCAGAAAAAAAATAAAAGAAAGCAGTGCTAAATAGATTTAGAAAATTGTCTGAAAATATAAGATTATTCCATAAAAGTACCTGTTTATCCCCCATCAGCATGATTGCTAAACATTTCAAAGGGTAATAAGACATTTAAATTTTTACCAGAAAAAGTTTGGGTAATGCAATGACTTTTTCCATACATTGCCTCAAAAAAAATAGATGTTATTGACGCCTTTTTACTTTTTTGATTTTAATCAGGAATCTTGAAATGTGTGTTCTATTGCTGTTGAAATGTTCCTAGTGGATTGTGATCGTCTAATTTCCAGAGATTCATTATTTCCTGGACAAGTAGGAGAAGTGGAGCTCCATCCAATCGTAATATCTAGGAGGCTTCAGGTTTTAAAAGCATGTTCGAAAGAAACTCATGACAGGGTCAATATTGAAGTTGGTCGCCTTTCTAGGTTATCTAGGTTGCTAATTTAATGAGCTGCTATTTATAGTTGTGCGACCATAATAACATATTAACAACATAATTTAATAAATAAATCGCTATACTTTCAAAATCTCCTGAAAGTTAAGTATCTCAATTTTCAAAAGCTTTCCCTTCCTTGTGTTTATCACAGTTTGTATTATCGCAAACTGGGATTGGATATGCGTTGTCTACTATTACTAGTTCATCCTGAAACACTTGCATTGAGTACCTAATTTTTTTATTTACAGGTTAAAGACAAGTGTGGACTAAATACAAAGAAAGCATTTAAAAAGTTGATAATTTAGCTTATTTTAGTCTGAAAATGTGGAAGGAACATTTGTCCTCCCCATATGAGTTAGGTTGCATAAAACTTGGAAATCTTTTTTTTAAAAGGGTGCGTCTCGCTAGACATGGTAGTTGAGCTATAAGAGCAGTATCATAGAGAAAAATTTTACATGTAAGTGGATTTTGTGGCTTTGGAAAATCACATAATTTAATCCATGTATTTGCCTCATTTTTTTATGAAGATTGACAATACCTTCCATCCACATGTTGCCAGTGTATGTAGGATATCTGGTGATAGTATACTTCGTATTCCTTTCAAGGAATAGGTTTCTGGGACCACATCCTCAGGTTCCATGCTGGACCTGAAAATAGGAATAGGCTTTTGAGACCACATTGTCAGTTTCCATTCTAGCCCTGCAAATATGAGTAGATTTCTAGGATCATATCGTCATATTCAATGATTGCCCTGAAAATAGGAATATGTTTCAGGAACCACTTTGTCCGGTTCCATGCTCCCCCTTGAAATAGGAAAAGTCCTCTAGGACCACATTTTCAGGTTCCATGCTGGTCCTGAAAATAGAAATATGTTTCCATTACCACATTGTCAGGTTCCATGCAGGCCCTGAAAATATAAATAGGTTATCATTACCACATTGTCAGGTTCCATGCAGGCCCTGAAAATATAAATAGGTTATCAGGACCATTTTGTCAGGTTCCATGCAGGCCCTGAAAATATAAATAGGTTATCAGGACCATTTTGTCAGGTTCCATGCAGGCCCTGAAAATATAAATAGGTTATCAGGACCATTTTGTCAGGTTCCATGCAGGCCCTGAAAATATAAATAGGTTATCAGGACCATATTGTCAGGTTCCATGCCAGCCCCGAAAATATAAATAGGTTATCGGGACGATATTTTCAGGTTCCATGCCAGCCCCTGAAAATAGAAATATGTTTTCAAGACCACATTGCCAGGTTCCATTCTGGCCCTGGAAATATGAATAGGTTTCCAGGAAAACATTGTCAGGTTCCATGCAGGCCCTGGAAATAGGAATAGGTGTTCAGGACGATATTTTCAGGTTTTACGGGGTCTATAAGCATAGAAATAGTAAGTTTGCTCTTTAATTCTTTTTTCAGAATAAATACTTTGTATTGATATTTTCTTTGAAACGAATTTTAATAAATGCAATAAATCTGTCTAATTGATTTCACCTTTCTTTTTGGGATATTTGATCCTCCTCTTCTTGGGGTTCAGGGTCTTCTAAATAGAATTGATCTTAATAAACTGGTGGAAAATTGGTTAAGGTATAATTTTATGTTTGTCTCTAATATTTTGAAACTCTAAGAACAAGATAAACTTGGTAAAAGTTTACTTTAAGTAATGTGTAAAATTGCCTACTATTTAAAATAAATAAATTTTAAGTAAATAATGGTGCCAATACAATATTCATATATATATATTTTTATTTTTTTATTTTTTTATTTTATAAACTAAAATAAATTAAATTGTGCGATCTACATATGGTTTAAGATTATATGAAGAAAACGAATGGATCAACCTGCTCCTTGGCGTCTTCTGTATTCTTCTTGAGGTTCCAGTTGACTAGAAAAATACTTGGTTATGATTTACCACCATTTTCTTATGAAATTCATAACCTTAACTTTCCCCCTTCAGGCATTTCATTCACATCTGCAGGATTTGATGCATCTTTGTTATCTAAGATTTTGTTTTGGTGATTGTGGATAAATATCCATATTCTTGATAATTGTGATGAATATTGCAGTTACATAGATACAGAAAAAAGAATGTTTAAACCAATGCAATTCTAAGAAAAAATCTGTCCAAACCTTTCTGAGAACTTCAGTCTTCTTTTAGGAATTGTTATTAGCACAGACACATTGTATCGACATATAAGAATATCTCCGTTACATCTAGTAACTGGGCTAACACGATGTTAACTTTAAAATATAGATCTAAGTTACAGAATTTATGGTAAATGTTTACTTAGTATCAGATTCAGTACTTAGGATTGACCTCTTGAAAAATAGAATTACCTTCCATCTGTAAATTCTCGGCATTATCAGCAACCCTTAAAATATGTGTTTAATTCAGTGGTATATTAATTTTAAGTAGCGATCAACCAATTGTTGTTGTTAATCCTAATCCTCTGATCATGAACACTCCCTTAGAAATAATGAATCTGAACTGTAATAAACCTGTTCATCTGTTGTGTGACGTTATCTGTTTTGACATCTTGTTGAGGATCACCACCTTGGAAATCTGAAATGAATTCTAATCAATCATTTCTTTGAATTTTATCCATTAAGATTTTTTTTCGAGAAGTTATAAAACAATTTTTTTTGGAGAGGAAAGAATTTTTAAAATAAAATATTTGGAGCACTTTAATTTATAATTATACCTTCAACATCTTCAGGAGGTAGCACTTTAAACTAAAGAAAAAGAAAATATCACTTTTTTAAGAAGTGAAGACTGTTCAAATATTAAGACCAGGGGTCAGTAATTAGAAAACTTTGTTTGTTATTTATTTAACTAATTCGAGATATTTGTAAAAAAAAATATTTTTTGTCAAAAAAATTTAACCATATTTCTTTATGAGTTGCTTTTTTTAGTGATGATGAAAATACTTACAGGTTTTAAAAGTCCATCATTATCAAATTCTTCATCAAATAAACTTTCTGAATTTCCGCGTTCCTCACTAGAAATCGTTTAAAGTCAGGACATTTAAGAAATATTCATTTTATTTTGAGATTAGCTGGACAATGTTCTTGGCAGGATATTATAATTTTAAGGGACATCTACAGATAATTTTCTTTTTAAAAAAGTCTAAATGTAAATCGTTAATAAATTTTTAAAAAATTGGAAAAATTGAAAAGAAAAAAAAATGGATTGTTTGTGAATAAAAAAATTAAGATGAAAAATTAGAATATTGAAAAATATCTGAATCTCTAGAAAAAAACTGACATCACTGAACTTTAACTTACTTAGCACTTAGTATAAGCCTGGTCCTGGCTGAAGTAAGGATAAAGGACGAGAGCAGTGTCACGCAGACCAATATATTCATGACTGATCAGACAATGGAGGGATCGGTTTCACTACTTCTCATTTATTGTAATTCAATCACTTCATTCTTTCAAATTAGATATATTCAATTCATCGAACACTTATTCACTCAGGACAAAACCTTAACAGGTGGGGGGGGGGGGTGCACGCAAAATCAACAATGAGTTTGTTTTTCTGTTTGATTAGAATTTTGTAATGGTTTTTATTTCACATTTCCCGTAAATTGAGCCTTAAAATATTTTCCCTAATATTTTATATACTAACAACTAAATAATATAGGCTGACTGATGAGGATACTATGGAAGAGCATGTCTGTGAGAATGATTGCTGTTCCAAGCATGTTCGATCCCGTCCCCTTCTAGCATATAGCTTTCCTAACCAGCAGCTTGTCAGGTAAATACAGTCAGAAGGTGAGATGCATCAGGTCCAATGCATAAGTTAAGTATGTCAAGGGGGGCTTTTAAAGCTTTTCTAGAGAGGGGTCGGACCCATGCAACTCACCATTGGGTGCAGGACATCAGCTTCACGCGTACAACCTGGATTCCATAAAATATGTTTGTATTGGCTAGACTTATGGTCTCAATCAGTCAAGAACTACATTTAGGCCCATACATTTGGTTATTGCATTTTTAGTGTGCGTGTGAGGGCAAAGGGAGAGGGTCCACAAGTCGAATCAGGAAAATAGGTAGTGCAGATAATAAACGTTTTATGTTTTAAGGTTGGTACAGGAGGAAGGATATATACAGCTGATTTCTCAGGAGATTTGTACTCAGTGCTCTGGAAACTGTTCAAACTCATTTTCACAGGTGACACCGCTTGAGAAAGGAGGGAGGTGGGGTCTACTTCTCCCTTTTTTAAGAAACTAAGAGTTCTCCCATCTTACCTAAATCAATAGTATTTTTAGTTTTTTAGTTCTAAGCTAATTCTGGAGACTTTTTTTAATTTAGGAATTAATGAATGTATTCGTCAACTTGCAATCTGCCTCAAATTTTAAAATTAATCATTTTTAATAGTATTTGTTGCTTTTCATTAAGTCAATATTCAACAATTTAACCTCTGAACATTTTCATTAAAAATGTTAAATAGGCTTAAAGTGAAAACCCCTTAAAAGCATCTCTCACTTGAATTGTACAACACTCTTTTTTGATTTAATGGCCTGCTGTAATTATGACCTTGGTATCCAGGTTTTTTTTACTCGAAGTGAAATTATTTATTGAAAAAAACATGTAATTTGTTTGTTTCAGGCCTACACTAGTCAGACTGTGCTGGTGTACGGAGAACAAGGAGTACATAGTGTACATATTCTAGGCAAACTCATTAAAATATAGTACAGTACAGTACAGTACAGAAAATTGCAGTGCAGTACAGTGCAGTACAGTACAGGAAAATTTGGGGTTTTCTCACATAAATTAAACTTTAGATTAAGATTTTACAGATTTCTATTTTCCGCATTCATTCAGTAAATACATAAAAAAATGTTTAATTTCTCACTCAAGCTATCAATTTAAAGCTAGGAGTAACCTTCTGCCTTAATTTTATCGTTTTCTTTATTCTTCACGTCATTCAAACCTCTTTAACTGCCTAAATCCCATGAATTGATATACTATTATTTATTGAGTATGCTGAGTAGTCGGAGCTGGGTGCAGTTGTTCCTTAAAAACCACTCCTAACAGTGATGATCTAAGCACCTCGGAGAAAAGTGACCTTCCAACTAGTCCAGAACCTTCTCAGCAGCACCCTGATGTTCCCGACCATATCCAGCTATATGTAGACCAGGTTAAAATAAATTTTTTTGTTCCTTGTTTAACCTTGTACCTTGTTTAGCCTTGTTTAGCCTTATTTAACCCTTGTTTACCCTTGTTTAACATTGATTTTCTGTAATAATCTATGTTTAGGTTTTTGAAAAGTTGCACCGCGTAGAATCTTTAATTTCAAGCGTTGTCCTGGCCTCGTTCTCTGGTATAAAGGAGGGTATGGTAGACTGTCTTCAGCGTCAGCGCAACCTGCTTTCTGACCGGCTTACTGAGTACAGGGTCAGCTTCAGCTCCAGGTTGGTTGACACTATTTATTTTCTTTTACATTTTGTTGAAGTAAAGCCTAAAGAAAAATTAAAAGAATATATATGAAACTAACTTAACTGCCATGTTTGCAAGTGGTATTTCAAAAAAGACTTAGGGAAAAAACCACCTGTGTCGAAACTTTTAATCTGATAGATTTTGTTATTTTGGGGGGGTGCACGCAAAATCAACAATGAGTTTGTTTTTCTGTTTGATTAGAATTTTGTAATGGTTTTTATTTCACATTTCCCGTAAATTGAGCCTTAAAATATTTTCCCTAATATTTTATATACTNTTAGAGTAAATTTTAAGGGTTCCTCCTCAATACAAAGATGATAGATTCCTAACGAAACCATTAAAACCTAATTCTGCTCAAGTTCGGAGAATATATATCAATGTTAAGAATTTTAAAAACTAATTTTATTCAATTATCCGAATTATTAGAATATCACTTTTATATTCAATATTAGAATATTACTTTTATAATCAATTATCCGAATTATTAGTATATATATTCAACTATCAGAATTATTAGAAAATCACTTTTATATTCAATTATCAGAATTATTAGAATATCACTTTTATATTCAATTATCATAATTATTAGAATATCACTTTTTTATTCAATTATCAGAATTATTAGAATATCACTTTTATAATCAGTTATCAGAATTATTAGAATATCACTTTTATATTCAACTATCAGAATTATTAGAATCTCACTTTTATTCAATATTAGAATATTACTTTTATAATCAATTATCCGAATTATTAGTATATATATTCAACTATCAGAATTATTAGAAAATCACTTTTATATTCAATTATCAGAATTATTAGAATATCACTTTTATATTCAATTATCATAATTATTAGAATATCACTTTTTTATTCAATTATCAGAATTATTAGAATATCACTTTTATAATCAGTTATCAGAATTATTAGAATATCACTTTTATATTCAACTATCAGAATAATTAGAATATCACTTTTATATTTAACTATCATAATTGTTAGAATATCACTTTTATATTCAATTATCATAATTATTAGAATATCACTTTTATATTTAACATCAGAATAATTAGAATATCACTTTTCAACCGAGGAAAAGGCATTATCTTCTACGTTATTGATAAGATTAAGGTTTCAAGGGTACTGTTGGAAATGGGAAATTCCCTTCTAGTTGAGGGTTAATTGTAATTTCGGTTTTTAGTCCCTTTAGATTAGTATTACAAATCCTAACTAATAATTTTTATATTATATAATTTTGTATTATACAGTATATTATATACAAAAATAACGTATTAACCATTCCGTGGTTTAGAAGTAGTTTGACCAACGAGGATATCATGGTCTGGAGCAACCGAACCTTACAGGAGCACAATACTGGAGTTAATCAACTCCAGATAGAGTGTCAAGGAGTGTTTCATCAACATCTAAACAATCTTCAAGGGGCGCTTAATGAGAATATTCGTAGAGAGGGTCTTCTTCCAGAAGCATGTCAGGTATCTAGAACACTTCAAGGGTTTAAGTTGGCAGTTCATGAGAATAGTATGCATAGGCTAAAGGTATGGGGGAAAGGGTATGTGTACATTTTGGGTGCTCTGAGCTGCTAGGAATTTGGAAAGACAGCGAGGATATAGTAAACAGAGCACCAATTTACGACAGTCCTTACTAATGCTGTTTTGTGTTCGTTAGTTTTCTTGTTATTATCATATTAAATTTTTGAATACTAACTGAGAAGTACATTGAAAATTGAATAGATATTTAGCAAGGGCGTATACAGGGGGAGGGGCAGTTGCCGCCCTAAACCTGTAGGGGGGGGGGGGGG